AAAATTTGAATGGGTAGCTTTTTATTATCCGTTTTCCGGCCGTTTTAGTTTCATACTCTGCTTTTCCCAAATGATGACTTCGATAGTTATTTCCACAGTGTCAACAGTCAGTTTTTGGTGTGTGCGTTTATGACGAAAAAGTAAGGCTTTTCTCGCTCGTCCAGGGGTTTGAAGGATCAAAGTTTGGATTTGCTTTACCAAAGTAGGGTTGTGTTGCTACCCGTTTTTTTCCTCTGTGTTTTCCAGCTTGAAGTTCAGTTTACCTTCGAGACGAATTTGACATCGTTTAACATCATTTTGCCTAAGAGCTGGTTTTCCTTTCTCCATCCTCCCTATAAACTCTTACCTTATTTCAACGGTAGCCCCATACTTGCCGCGCAATGAACGAGATTCGTTTGCTACTTTTACCTTGCAACGGGAAGCGGCTGTGTTTTCCAAGACAGTAATTCCTGTCAATTTTAAGCAGTGCTGCGCAGTAGCTTGCATTCGCTAAGCTGAGATTAGCTCCCAGTTAGTGTCCCACACGTAGCTGTTTTGCGATTAGAATCTGGATGATGGTAGGCTGGTTGTTAGGCAGTGTTTTCAAAGATCACCTGTTCTGGGCACATCACGCATATGTCTCTGTTTTTTCAGGCGTGTTTTTCCTCACTTATCTTTTAAATATACAACGAGTACAAAAAATTGGTTTGGTAGACCAATTCATCATGAGTTACGGGGGTATACGAGGTGCTGTGTGTTACGGTTTGGTTATGTCACTTGATCCTTCTGTAAGTTTTCAGTTTTTATGTGCAAGTGAAAAAGTGCACACTGCAAAGAGCTCGTGTTTTCTATATATGTATTTCAGTGTATTTTTGCGCAGTGTCCATCTGTTTCAAGTTAGAAAAGTCGGGGAGTCGAAACTGTGGTGAAATTTAATCGCTACTGTACATAAACCTCATGAGCTAGAATCAGAGTTCAAACTCTTCCTTCTACATGTGTACCTGTGATCAGACTTTAGTTTGTG